AAATAAATAAATAAATAAATAAATAAATAATTCTTGATCACTACATATGAATAGATTTAGCTTAAAATCCAAATCTTCATAGTCATCCCCCATGTTAAATTTTCTCTTAAAAAAGAACACAAAGACTTGGCTAAGACAAAAAGGTTCAAAGCTTAAAAGGGTGTAGGAGAGAGGGGGAAATATTCAGATAGTTTCAAGGCCAAAAAAGCACACCCCATTTCAGAACATACTTCCAGTTCCTCATCTAGAATTCAACTAACATCCAATTGCAGCAATCAGCCAGGCTTGACAAATTAAAATAACAGTAATTCTGACAGATCACCTTCTATAAATATTCAAATATGAGCATTTGTGTGCCTGCAAGTTTTCCACATGTCAAACAAAATGCTTTGTTTAGGATCCTAAAGTTGAACTGCTTTCCCTCCCTTCTGTGGGAATCCCCTGAGTCCTTAACTTTCACTTTAACTCTCATCCCAGGTGATTAAGAGATAAATTGTCTATCTGTAGCTTGAATTACAATTTTAAGAACACTCACATAAGCATCAACAGCCAAAAAGAAATTACCTAGAACCTTTGGAAATCTATGTAAAGACAAGAGCAGAGATCCAGGAGGAGGGAGGGGCATGAGGTTCTCAAGGGATGGCAACTAAATAAAAGCTTACCTTTTCATTCATGTGATCAATTATGTCATGGCAATGTAAAGTTTAGATATAAAGACCAATTAATAACTTAATAAATCTGAGTTCTATTCAAAGTTCCATTAAGGAAGACTACAATTATTTGGCTTAAGACAAAACCCTGCTTTGATGACTAAGTACATAAAGCTGTCACAAACAGGGAAATATAATCAGTATCAAATTCAAAACTAAACATACCTTCTGAAATCCACAGATATCCCTATCATAAAGACTATTGATAACTAAGAACAATAATGACTTTCACAAGTTGTCTGATGCATTATTTTAGCCTATCTCCAGTTAATTTCCCTTGAATGTATACAAAATTACTGAAAAGCCTCAGACGTTCTAGGAAAACTACAAGTAATAGGCACGCCTTTGCAGCTAGGGCAGCACTAAATTGTGAAACAAAACTCAACCTACTCAAGAGGCATACGCCCCTCTAGTAAACCACGGCTGAGCATATTTCTACATAGGCAGGCTTACAACAAGCTCTTACTATAAGATCACTCTGAACTCAACCATCATAACCCTGATCCAATACTGGATTCAAGCCAAACCTGTGGTTCTCAAATCTGGAAAGGGAGAAGAAAAGTCTGGGTTAGGAAACAGTAGCTTCAGCCTTCTCTGGGAGCTTGTTAGAAATACACAATTAAGCCAGGCAGTGTGCAGTCCCAGCACTTGGGAGACTGGCGCAGAAAAACTGCAAGTTCAATACCAGCCTAGGCTACACAATAAGTTCAAGACCAACCTGGATTACATAGAAGATGCTGTCTCAAAAAAGAAAAAAACAAAGAGCAAAAAAAACACACAGTTTCAGGCTTTACATGGAGGCACAGAGAATCTGAATCAAACATTTTAACAAGATCCCCACAGTGATTCATATACTCATCACAATTTGAGAAGCTCTGCGGGGGGGGGGGGGTACATGAGAGATAAGGTGTAATTTTCTGCCCAAAAATTCTCTCCACTGTAGTCCACAGCTGAGCAAAAATGCAGTCAATTTTTAAACTGCGTTTCATAGCATCATTACTCCTATCACAATTTTTTATATTTTCAATAAAAGCTCTTGAAAAATAGAAATCCCTTATGAGCCAAAGAATGAGTATCTAATGATTAAATCTCAATTCCCAAGAAAATCTTGACAGTTATCTTAGAGCAAGTGGCCAGTCCTATCTCATGCCCCAAGCACATTAACAAGACAAATTAGTCAAGTGCTCCAGAATGACATTTCAGTCAACGAAGAATCACATATACAATAAAAAGCCCATAAGATTATACTGCCCAGTGAAACTGTACCCTTCTTAATTTGTGTAAACACACTGTATAATGTTCATTCAATGAAGAAATTGTTTAATGATGCATTCTCAGAATTACCCCTCTCCTTAAGTGACATATGGCTGTGGTTAAAATAACAGCAACTCTTCCTTTTTCCTCCCCCTCTCCCAAGCCCCTCTCAAACTGACAAATGTCACTCACACTTTAATGTGCATAGGATTACCTGGGGATCTAATCAACTTTCTCAGTAATTTAGAAAGAGTTATGTTGAGATGTTGCCTTCCTAACAGTCTCCCCCAGGAATCAGGATGTAGTTAGTCCTTCCTAGGAACATATTTTAAGTATCAGTTATGGAATATACCATTAAGCAGTTAATAATTCTTCTGTCATATATGTATATTATCAACATTGGATATATTTTTTTCCATCTGTCATTAAAGAAGGCAAAAATTCCAGCTCCTTAGGTCCGATATGCTATTTCTGAAAACGCTGAGTAAGACTTTTAAAGGAAAGGTCAGATAAAGGCTGTCAGTAAAAAGTCTACTAAAACTTTTAATAATTTACACGAATTCTAAATAGCATGACTGAAGTTCCCACATACAAAGAGCATAATTATACTACCAACTAGATTGAATTTTAAATATGTAAAATTATGTCTTGTATTTACAAAAAATTGTTAAAATGTTTTAACTCGTTAGTCCAAGCATAAGTTTAAAAAATAAAAAAGAGGAATGTACTACCTTTTTCATTAACAATGACAAAACACTGGTGAACTAATTTCTGAAAGTGAACGAATCTATAAACTTTAAAGAGCTGCTTAACCCATCAGAATCATTAAAGTAGACGCAAGAGCCAAAAAGATTTGGAGGTTAAATATACCAATGCAAAGGCTCTATGAATGGCAAACTTCCCAACACTGAAGTATAAAATTATGATCTGAAGAAAGTTTAAAACTTTACCTGAAGAATCTATAAGTAAGGGAAGGTGTAAGTGAAGCACTGTACACATGGAAATTGAGTTCCTATAAAGTAGAATCAGACTTCACAGCAAGCCAACGTAGACAAATCCAAAAGAAGAGTGTTCTTAGGAAGCAAAACAACAGTCACAAAGCACAGAGACAGCATTCCAATACGACTCTTTCACTAGCTAAGATGAGTAATAAATGACCCAGACTGAAACTCCATGAGAATTTCCATCAGCTTTTAATTATTCATAGTATAAAAATATAAAATATAAATTATTTGCAGTTATTTTTTCTTGCTAGTTAGCACCACAAAACCACCTCTTCCCTCCTCTATGTAACCAACAAAAGCATGTTTTCAATCTGCCTTCCTTTCTTGACCTATTCAAAGAGATATTACTTGAATAATTGATTTAAACATGATTTATGAAAACATTAAAAATATACTTTAACATTAGTATTTACTAAGTAGTGATATTTACTAAATACAGTGGCATCTTGGTTCAGGACCATTTTTGTTTGCAAACAGAAGCATTTGGCAAAATTTTGGTTTTGTTTGCAAACTATGCATCAGGTGACAAACACCACCACGGCCATCTATTCCAAAACCACAGACAAACTGGATATATGAACCAAAGAACCACTATACTGTTTGATGAATAAATATCAACTCCCTGTCCTAAAAAAGTCATATGTATCATGCCATGTATAAAAACTGAAATGGAAAAAAAATCTCTACCACATTGATAATAAAACAGAAAACTTACCAAAGAAAAACAACCATTTAAAAATCACTAGATTTATTTTTTAATAATCAGAAAGACTCAATTAAAAAGATAATTCTCAAACATCATGAGTAAAAATTATAATTAACTTTATAAAATTACAGAGTCAAAGTCCTGTGGTCGGAGATACTGATGAAGAGTGTCTTGAGTTTCTGAAGACAAAAGCACAAATGCAAAACTCTGTATTTTAACAAGCCTGCTAGGTAATTCCCGCAGATCATTCTTGAACACCCTCTAATAAATACTTCATCATCAAACCACTGTCAAAATCCAAATTATTACTTTAGTTCTGATCTGAATGCCCACATCCATCTCTTGTGTCAGCCTCAACTAAAATGCCCAAAGTCATAGGCCTATTTAGGGTACAGAGATAGGATTCAAGGTAACCAATATGACTACAAAACCTGAATTATTATAACCCAGGATAATTTCTTGAAGCAGGAGGACAAAAATAGCAGATACAAAACAATTTGACATCAAAACTGAGCAACTCCCATGTAAACATGGCCTAGGCATACTTTCACAAATATTTCTAAATGACTAGAAGTTAAGCATAGGGAGGACACTGTCACCTGCCAGACCCTGTGCTGGAGCCAGGAGAACCCAGATAGTGTACATCCCAACCCCATCTGACGCTGATGCCCAGTGGGATCCCATGCCAGAGCAAGGAGGACGCAGGAATCATGTGCTCCATCCCATAGCTGACACCAATACCCACTGGGCCCCATGCCGGAGTCAGGAGGACCCAGAAACTATGCACCCTGACTCCAGTCCCTGAGTTCTCCTCACACATAGCAAGAGAGCTGACAACCAATAGACCAACCAACCTGATAGAACAAGAGACCAATACCCAGGAGGAGAATTTCACTTCAAGACTGAAGTGATAGCTTCCCACAGAGACTAGATGAGAGATGGCTTTGGGAGATAGATGTGTAGAAGATAAAGGCTAAATAGGGATTT